TATCTATGAAGAGTGTGCCCCTTTCTAGTTTCTACAACCCTAACCTTACGAATATAATGTTATTCTTTACAGGAAGCATAATGGCAAGTTAAATTACCAGTAATTTTAGTTCCAAAGTTCTATTTGAAAGCATAACGTAAATGTACGTTCTAAAGAAGAATAAAGGGTTCTATCATACATGTATGAAGAGTATATACTGTATGTAAAAAAACAATACTTGACCAGATTCAATGCGACACATAAAAAAAGCTTTATCTATTAAAGCAAAGTGAAGAAAAGAGTTAGGTATGAGGTTGGTCTAAGAATTTAGGTCTCTTTACTCTCTACAGAGCTACGATGAATAGTCCATATCTAAAACAATAGGGCCTACAATAAATGTTAACTGCGGGTAGGAAACATTTGGAAATGGAATATATTCTACTTTGAATGTTTTAATTTGAAAATAGAGGACAGGGTAAATAAATGTGAAAGGATATATTGAAATCTATACAGAAACAATTCAGGAGTACATTGAATGCAATATGTGGAAGTGTCTTGTATGTTGTGGTCTAAAGTGAAAGTCAATGTTTTTTGTGGAAAAGTGATATTATTCTGCATCATATTCACATACACACATGTGCATCAACTACAGACCAAATTTGAATTAATATTTTGCAAATAGTGCTTCTGGAATCCTCATTAGAATAATGAATAGAGTTACACGACAGTTACTATCAATACTACAAGCTAATATACCTTTCAAGTAACTATTAAAGGTTAGTGGCAAAGGTTATGAGTAGTAACTTACTAATAGTTACTTACTAACAGTGGGAGGACATAACTATTAGTACATGTACAAGCAAATGTGTGTGGCCAGATACATATCATGCATGAATGAATGTTAGAAGGAATACTGATATGAGTTTCATGCACATGAAAAAGGGGGTGAACAGTTAAATGTACGTCAAAAGGATGACAAAGAAATGAAGAAAACAGAAAATGCTGACACAAAAGAGGACAGGCAAAACCATTGATAGGGAATTTCTAAAATATGAATAAATCATGTCTGACATAAATAGATTGACTAAAAGTAATATAAAAGCTAAGAATAAGAAAATGATCACAATGTTTCATGAAACAAGTTCATTGCATATTCGAATCTAAATTAGTTATAAATTTAGTATAATTTGTTGGTAACTGATAATAAGTATTTGTGTGGATGATAACACACACAAATGTTTGTTTTATAATGAGAATAAATGAATAAAATGAATGATAATAGAACGGAAGAAAAAAAATGGACATACCGGTCGTTGGAGGAATGGTTGGTCCTGTTCATGGTATGGGAAAAGAGCAAAAAGAAAATAAAACAAATAAAAATTGAAATGTTAGAAAAATAGCCATTTGTATGACACATGCACAATCTTACCCGGGAAAATATGAAGTTGTGTTTATGAGCATGCCTTACATGTATGTTGGACACTATCTAACTGAGTTGTGCTACAAGGACATTCTTACAAGTGCATTACGTTTTCTACCTCTGTACCCACACTCAGAAAAAAAAGGATAAAAGAGACAAATATTCATGGCTACAAACCCTTATATTTTTGACAAATCTGATGTATATTTTGAAGTTAATTCACTCTCCACTCCTCTGTGTTTTATTGACAATGGGTCAGTACAACACCCAACGCTTCTCACACACATGACCATTTCAGAACAATTCTTGACTGAAGCTCAAATACACACAATATAGGAATGGCTGAGGATTACTCTAAAAGCGCTCATGCGGCTGCATGTACACGTATGGTTGCCAAAACAGCCAGGTTCTGTCAAGATCAGTCAAAACACGAAAGCAAATTTACTGTTATTCACTAATGATGTGGGCCCTGAATCATAAAGAGTTGCGAAGGATTCAAAACAATCGCTACTTAAAGTTAATGGCAACTGTGTACTTCAGAGATTGGAGTTGTGGTCAATTTGAATCAATAGAAACTCTTTATAACTTCATAAGCCTCAAGTTTAATTTGTTTAAAATGAAGCTTTGAAAAATTATTACAGGTAAATGCGGTGTAAACCAAAGAGCCATGCATTTTGCAAACCAAGGAAGAGGAAATCAACCTGTGAAACATGTCAACACCAGACAAATTAGCAGGAAAGCAATTTTTAAAATCTAATACATGTACATATTCCACTGCTAACGCTCGTTCAGACATAAACATGAGGCGGCAAAACAGCTATGGCTGTATCTTATAACACATACATGTAGTTCCGCGAATATGAGCAAGTCCTTTTTGCATGCAGTATTAAAGCAAATATTAACAGACTACGAGGGTAATGGTACAACTATCATTGCCGAGGTGATCTCGGGGCTACTATCATCCCGAGCCGTAAGAGTTGAAGCGTACTGAATAAAGACCATGGTAAATGTCTATACAGCTTTGCAACTACTCCTTCATACATTTATCTTTTGCAGGAAAAAAGCTTAACAAACAAAAATTGTTTGTGTACCTGTAGTCCTATACCCTCAAGACAAAAACGTTTAGTGTAATTCATATAAAGGAAGAATGTAGAATGCAGATTGTTGTATTTTTTGTGGGATAGTTTGATCCTCTGGTCTGATGAACAAACTGTACACTTTGTGTGAGAGTAGAGAGCGGAAAGTACATGTAGTTAACGAAATATTTGCCACACGGTGCTTTGTAGTGGTTACTAAAATACCAAGTCTTGCAACATGCACCAACAGCGTCAAGAAAGTTTTCATATTTTTCATTTTAATGAAATATATTTGTCTTTTCTTTTAATACTTTTCATTGCCTCTTCTGATGTCCTCTCGCTTTCACCACTCCCAGTCTCCCTCCCTCTCTCTCTCTCTCCCTCCCTCTCCCTCTCTCTTTCTCTCTCTCTCTCTCTCTCACACACAATCTATCTCTCTCTCTCTCTCTAGGTCTGTCCTCATCAGTCTGAGTTGGCCAAATAGACCGCTATTTTCTGATCTGGGAAATTAGCCCGCAGTTACAAATTGCGTTCTTCATCAGCTTGAAACTCGAGCTCAAGAAATTTGCTCGTGTTTGCGCATGCGTAGTGCGATATTGGACCTTCGAGCTAACATATTAACGCGCCTGCCGGGATCAAGAAGTCTTCAGAGTCTTTGTGTGAGGGTGGGCACATGATGGATGCACATATACTGTACTACATGTAGTGTACTGTACATGTTTATGTGATTTGAACGATTGCAACACCACTGTAGGCTAAAACAAAAGAGTGAACAATAATTATTTGTTAATGTCATGTTCATGTATATTCATCATTCATAGTAAGGGAGATCTTCATGTATGCATGTTTATTAACTTCAAGCAAGTCATATTTTGTGGCTTCACATTCTCTTCCAATCGTACTACTGGTTGTAAACTGAATTTAAATCCCAACAGCATTGACAAAATTTGAATATCTTGAACTTAACTTCATCATCATCCCGTGAGTACCCAAGGGGGGAATTGGGGATGGGGATTTCCTTGTAACCGCTCTCCATCTTGTTCTCTCTGTAACCATTTCCAACTCAATTTCTCTACCATCTTCCCCAATAAAATCTATCCACCTCTTCCTGGGTCTTCCTTTCTCTCTGCTGCCCATCTAATCACTTCATCTTCATCTTTCCTCTTCACCTGTCCATACCATCTCAGTCTGCTTTCTCTTATCTCCTCCCTTATCACAGTCACTTTTACTGCCTTTCACACCTCATCATTACATAACACAAACCTCTCTTCCAGATTTACACTACAAACACATCTTGAACATAGAAAACAAGGAGGGCTATTGAAACCAGAAAAAAATCTGTTTAAAAAAGAGCATACTTTGGAACAATGACTGCATTCATATAAGAGGGAAATATATACAGATTAATAAGCCAGTAAATAAATGCAAATATGATGCAGCCAATCTCATATACATGTAATATCAGGGATTGTGTCTGGTACATGGGTTACAGTATTTCATGACAATCATAGTGTAATACTGAACTGTTGGTTCAGCTTATTTCAACATACCGATACACAAGACTTCCCTAAAGACTGGGCCAGCTTGTGCGCATGAGCATGACTCTTTCATGAATATCGCAAGTGGTCTATATTTGCAAAACTTTCATGCCACGTGACTACATTTTTATCTATAGTGAACAAGGTGCATTTTTGCAACTTGAAAACTATATTGCTGTAAAAATTGCTATCACCAACAATTTCAAAAAAAATCTCATGCCATGAGAGTTTCTGGTATTACAACAGCAGATGATCACAAAACATGTCACATCTGTTAAACAATTGAACCCTCCAAGACATAAAGAAAAAGGATTTACTCAGAAAAGATTAATGAATGCAAATATGACTTGTAGATTGAAAAAGTGTACCCAAGCAACAAGATGGTTTGATTGAGTTTGAATAATGGTTTGATACATCAACAAGATCAAATCATTCCACACTAATCATGACATCATAATAAACACATCAATTAAGCACAATAAAGTTCACTATACCTCAACACATGAAGCATCAATTAAAGACACACACACTAAAATGAACTTCATCAATAAATGCGCAAGCATGAACACACTTTCTCAACATTCCTTCATTAGGAAGTGGATTTAGACTTCAATTTAAAGTTGAACAAGTTGGATGGTTCTTCACCCCTCTCTCCACTCCCAAGGTCACACCAAACACATCTTACCAACACAACAATAAAAAGGAAAGAGATGTGCCAAAAAATGCTCATCTCTCACGTCAGCGAGATACAGGGAGCTGCCTCGACAGAACCTTATGGTTTTATTTGCAGTTTCCCCAATTCATTTCTATTGCTGTTTAACTTTTTATAATTCCGATATATTTGTAGACATGTTTCCATTTTGTGTGTATTTTGTGTTTTCTATATTGTATATAATCTGTATCTTATATGTTTTTTATAGACTTGAATTGAAATAAAACTTGAACTTGAACTTGAACATGTACAGATAATAAATCAAAATTACTTACTGCTAGGGTCATATGTTACTCCTTCACTTAGTGTCGTATTTCCAAGGTAATTGCCAGCTAAACACGTGTAATTGGTACCCTCTATAGGATCTGAAACAGAGACAGTGTCGACTCCTTCCATAGAATCATGTAAGAGTGTGCCATTGGAGAATATGTAGTAGTTTCGAATGGCTGGGCTAGGTTGGTTTTTGGCGTTACATGACACTGTGATGCTTGTTGCCTGGGTTGCATAATCTGCAGTGACAGTGGTACCGGCATCAGATGGGGAGGCTGCGTTGGGAGGATGAAAAAAGAAAAATCAGATTCATCTAATACTATTAAGTAGTTTTGAAAGAAAGTTTGACAATTTCACCTCAATGGAGGCGTAAAGCTTCAGCTGAATAATTGTAGGTTGAATTGAATATGTATTTCCAATCTGATCTTTCAGTGTCACATGTACATGTATACACCGTCCAAGCTCTTTTAATACATTAAATATTGCCTTGTACAATGGTATCATATTACTATTATGGTCAAGACGAACAGGTTGGATTAAATATATGACCGTCCATCCTAAGCCTGCTACCAACAAAAAGACGGGATGAATAAATTAAAAACGGGTTTTCGGGGGCTACGATCAATCAAAACTACAGACTAAGTTATTTTGCATAAAGTCTTAACTGAATATCTGTTATCCACACGGCAAATTATCCAAATTTGAAAAACTAAAGTTGCTATACCCATTTTAATCTAAATATTAAGTATTTACTTCTGAATATAATAGGTACCAAAAAAAAAATATTTTTATCCACACATTTTATTTTTCCCATATAGAACCATTGATCTACTGATCGTACTTGTAAAGAATGATAATATCTGCCTCCCTAAATCCAAAATTCAAATCATACTTACTATGAATATTTAAATCTGTAGATTCCTGTCCATTCAACTCTGGTATCTGATGTCCAGAGACTTGACAAACCAAGGTCTGTCCATAGTTCTCTAGAGTTGCAGGAAATGTGAACACACTCTTTGAGTTAGATAAAGGTGCTGTAGCTGGTGGGTTCGTTTCCACTATCGTGTTCCCATTGCCATCAGTCTGTGTAACTCCATTGAGGGTCCATGTAAGAGTATTTTGTGGTTTGCCACCAACAGCATCACATGTTGCTACGTTCATGTCCTTACCGTTTGTCACGGTACTAATCAGAGTCAATGTCAAAGTTGATGCAGCTACAAGTAGGAAGAAACAATGGCAGAAGTCTTAAACAGATTGATATTCAGATTTGCTTCCAAAAGAAAAACATTATGAAACATTATAAAAAGTAACATACAGTATTATGATGTAGCAAGCACAAAAACACAATTGATATCTCAAGAAATACAAGATGCCATAGAGTGAGTCCTGCTTAAGAGTACCTAAAAATATACTGATTCATAAAAGAGGGTATTTGCTAGCAACTATCCTATTGTAATGTAATACAATGTAATGCATTTTTTGATGTACATGTGCTCCACCCAGACGAGGTAAATCGGTACTTGGTATTAAGTCTTTGTTAAATGCCTCATTACAAATAATGTTATTCACCTGTTACAAATAAATGTATTTCAATAGTCAGAATGCGAATTGCATACATTAATTGTTGCTAGGTAGGACTAACAATATACTTGCCCTACCTAGCAACACCTAATGTATATTATTCGCATTCAGACTATTGAAATAAAAATTATTATGTACAATTGTTTAGCCAGAATTGTTTCTCTGAATTAAAATGAATGAAACATGTACATGTAAGAATCTTTAATTACAAATAGGCCTACAGTCAAAAGGATTCTAGAAAAATTACCCCCTGGACAGTTACCCCCGGAAAACATCCACCCAAGGACAACAACCCCCCGAAAACAAATCTGCTTTTATTAAAACCAACTTATTATCAGGGTTGACTTCCCCTTAATGAACAGGGGGTGGCTAATTATCGTAGGGGTAATATTCAGGGGTGGGGGTAATTGTCCTCTGGAGAGGAAGGTAATTGTCCATGGTGGATAATTGTCCGAGGGGGTAATTCTCTATGGGGTAATTGTCCTCGGGGGTGGTTGTCCTTCGGGGTTTTTTTTCCGGGGGATAATTATACTGATACGGGTTAAAAGTCGTGTTTCAAGAGCAAGTTTGTTTGATTGAATTTCCCTAATTTGTCAACATAATATAAATTAATGTAGGAACTAGTTACATATCTATTATTATCAAAAGTTAAAATACATATATAATTATATAATAAATCAGTTAAATAACAATATCTTTCAAAAAAGACAGTTCGCAAATCATTTCAAAATTGAAAAATGCAGGAGACAGCCATCTTAAGCTTGAACTTGAGCGCGATGGAGGTCCCAACCGATTTCATTTCTCAAATATAAACTAAAATACCTTGCCATTCTACGTACACAATTCATAAATTGCATATATTGTACTTACCTTCTACCACCAGATTTATAGGACTGGCATTTTCGTCTGATGGAATAGAACATATATACGCCCCATCATCCTCGACTTCTGCATTCTCAATCGTCATCACAGATTCAATTTCTGATAGTGACGTCACAATAAAATTAAAGTATTTAGATAAAGTACTGAAACGGGTTTGTCCATGATAGATAGGTGTATAACCGCCTCCAGTAACATCTATCCATTGAATTAAGGGAGCTGTTCCACCATTCACAGTACACGTGAGTGGGACGTTAGTGGCAGCTGCTGCTCTGGAAGGACCTGACACAGTTACCGTTTGACTACTGGTTGCTAGAAACAATCAATAAAATAAAACCTGTGTGAATGCGACTGTTTTATGTCACTTTCATTAACAAAATTCACTTGAATTGGGTTGAAGACAAAAGTAGATATTATAAACAATATTCAGTGTTATGTATGTATAGGTTAAAACAATAACAGAAACGACGTGATGAGTAGAAAAATAGGTACATTGTAATAGGGCATGTTAAGCATTAAAAGGCAATAATAACATTCATATTGAAAGCACGAACACGAGCCGACTAGTAAGCCTAATCCTTTATCTCTTGGCAATGCCAGGGGAATTTGTTTATAGAGGACTCATATTGGCCTTTATAGCTGCATCTGGAGTATTCTTGAATCAATTTATTCTAAAAAATTAAAGATTTATTTCAAATTGTACTAAGGTCATGTATCAAAACAAAGCGGTATGTATTTTTTATGTGAGGTGTATACCTCAATCAAACCACCAAACAGACTTTACATCGACTCTTAACCGACCTGTTTCTGACCATTCAGAGTAATTAATTTTTGTTTGTGTGTGTAGTCAGACGATGCCGGTTCCGTTGGTGTGACTAAGGTATTAGCAAATTTGGAAAATCAAATGCTTTTAATCGAGTTTAATAGATTTGTATTTCATGAAATGTATACATAATATTATACAAAAAATAAACAGCAGTAAGGTCATTAGTAATAATTACCCACACAAGGTAACTTTGGGACGGTCTAACACGCCGGAGGTCACATGTACGCTCTCAACCAATCATTTGATTAGAATCCGCTTCATCATCTTATAAATGATTATAATAGAGAACTCTTTAGTATTCAGGTTTCATAGCAAAAGAGGTCGGTTCATCTTACCAACCTCTTCATCATATCCTCCGTACGGAATATGAGATGTGTATTTAATAAATAGATGAATTAAAAACTACTTACTATGGACGAGTAGAAGGACTGTAAAAACCTGTAATGCAGTCAGATAATCCATGCTAAACATGTGTATTGTCGATGTCACGTTGCAGGTAAATCTTGGCTTTAATTCTGGCTGACTCTTAAGGAGAACGTTGAATTCTTCCGGCTTCAAATTATTTCCAAACTATTTTGCATGACAGATATGGGTTCATAAGTTTAAAAAATATTTCCCAATACATAAACGTGATTCAAACTCTTAACCGGTTTACTAATTTCTTCTTCTTGAAGATAGGTTTCCCCTGACAACTAAAACACGTGCCAAAGGCTTGCTATACATGCAGACAAGTAATGCATGCAAAGCGGATTCCCCCTTAAGATATAAATTTATGAATAGCAGTGGAATCAAACAGTTCCATGTAGTACCAAGACAAACCATTAAAAAACATAATGAAAAACATTAACAAACAAATTAATGGGAAAGTTATGCAATTTTTAAAACTTAGCGGAAGACGATAATCACTGGATAATTAATTATCTCACTCATAGGTCTGTAATGTCATTATCTTTATAATCAACCCACTTATCCTTTTTTTCATCATTTTTCTTGGTGGTGGTGACAATAAAATATGCCCCCCCCCCCACCCCTTTTCCTTTCGACATGTCCCATACTGTATAGTTAACGACATATTTTCAGCAGTCGTCGAGGGGTTTCGGTAAGTCCGATGCTCGTGTAGAAACGCACCTTGTTTTATGAAAGTCGAACTCACGTCCGAGACTTTGAATGATAAGTTGGAGAGCTATGGCAGAAAACTGCTAAATGCTTTACCGTTTACAGACGGATTTTTTGTCACATATATGAAAGGATTAACAGGGCCGAGCTTCTATACACTAACGTGACGAATATGTTTACCACTCACAAAGGTAATTGTAATGTCCGTGTTCGTTTGGACTTCCTGCTTTATTTCGCTCGGCAAGCGAATGTGTGGTGCGTCCTTTCAGATTCTTTAAAGGCTAGCTGGTACATGTAATAGTCTAATTCTAGATTGGACTGCAATCAGAACGATCAACTGCATGGGAAAGTTACCGAAAGAAAAGCTCTATGAAATGTATATTAAACCTGCACTTAATACATTATCACAGTCGTATATTTGCCATGTACAGTGCAATTTCAGTAACATAGTAGTGAAATCATATATAGGCCTACAAGGGAAGGAGAATAGCGATCACACTCACCTCTACAGCTACCTTCAAGATTCCATACACATGGTACTAATGTAACAGGAGAGGTTATTTTTAGTAATAATCAAAACATTAAATCCATGTACGGTCACAGTTGATATGAACGATTACAAAAATTGAACCCCGCATGCTGTGTGAGGGCGAATTGCAGACAAGTTCTAATCCATTGTTGTTTCGTCAACATATAATATTAGAGAGCATAGGATATGCATCATAATAAATGATATTACGACATTATAAAGAATCATATTTAATAATGCAAATTAATTAGGACTCGTTTAATCCATAAAATCATGAAATTATCTTATTTCTTTCATTCATGTTTCTATAAATATTTCAATTCTGTGTGTTTGTTTGTTGTTTTGTTTTGTGTTGTTTTTTTTTTTTTTGGGGGGGGGGGGTGGTGAGATCAAACTCAACACTTTTCATAGTCACATTACACCTATCTTAAAAAATCTCCATTGGTTGCCTGTAAAAGAACGTATAATTTTCAAAATCCTCCTTTTAGTTCATCAAATCATGAACAGAACAGCTCCTGAATACAACCAGTCTTTATTTCACCTCTACCAACCCACACGTACCCTCCGATCTTCCAACTCTGGTCTTCTACACATACCGCTTTCAAAGAAATCTTGGGGGGAACGAGCTTTTGCTCATGCCGGACCAGCCCTGTGGAATTCACTTCCACAGGAGCTGAAGAACTCCGACTCTTCAACATCTTTTAAGAGCAACCTTAAATCCCATTTGTTTAATTTTGCGTTTTGAAGACAGACATTCATTCTTTCATTCTTTCATTTTTGCATTTTCTTTCTTATGTAAATGTACACGATTCTTTGTCATGATGTAATGTGTTCCCTTATATTTTGAAGCGCCTTGAGCATTTAATCAAAATGGATAATGGCGCTATATAAATCTCATGTATTATTATTAATGATAAATATCTATACTGAGGCTTCGAGGGGGCGAGTGCAAAGGGGGCAGAGTTGGAGTTCCACCCCCCCCCCCCTCCACAATATAAGATCGTTTAAATGTTTATATTTATTTTTGGTGGGGAAGGGGGTACCCACATGAAAAAAAGAAGTTACTTTTATTGTTCATTAAACCCATGTATCATAAGTTTTCAGTGGTCCTAGATACAAACTTGCATCATTTCAAATTCAAAGAGAATCCTATTTTTGTTTTCTATATAGTAAAAGTGCGCTACCTTCCCATTTTCCATCTCTCTCTCTCTCTCTCTCTCTCTCTCTCTCTCGTATTTCAGAAGTCCTGTTTTTGTTAGTTTGTAGTGTTATGGGGAGGGGAGACGGAGGAGCGGAAACAGAGTATTTATTTACGCTTCACTCGTGCTATATCAAGTTATTCATTCAACCAAAATAATGCAAAGTTTTGGGAAATTTTGAAAATGGATAGATAGTAATTCTTTAAATGTTTGATATATTTGGATGCCCCTGTGGGTGTATTATAAGCACTAACAAATTTAGCCTTAGCTAAAACACTTCTGCTTTCGAGTAAATTGAATAAATCAAAATTTACCGGTACTCCCTGTATATTTTAAATATTTAAAAAAGCGCCTAAGGCCATTCCACGGTAGCTGTGACCATGACAATCTCAGAATATGCAGTTCTGATATATAATTTCCAAACGGGAGTAGCAAATCGGTCGATTGTAGACAGGAAGCATTGTTTTAAAGCTAAAGTAATATCAGTCTTGAGAGGGCGCTATACAACATAAATAGTTTATTATTTACAATTTCATCACTTTAGACTCGATTTTAACCGCGACAACGATTATTGAATTTTGTAAAATCGCATATGCTTCCAAAATGTTTATTTGATCCAAATTCATGACCCCATACCAAAACTTTGTAATACCGTTAACTAGACGATTTCAGACAAGGGCCTATTGACGTAAAAATCAAAGTGTCGTTTTTAAAATTAAGTCTCCAACGATATTTTTCAATACGCCCCAATTGCAGCTACGGTTATGCAAGTGTACCCTACGAAAACTTTGTCTTATTTAATTATTAACTTTTATTACGTAGATAAATGTCGCTAAATATATTACTCATTGCGGATGTGGTATTGAAAATAATATCGCTAGTGATATTCGTTTGTCTCGCAATGTAGTCAATAAGGAATCTAAAAGATCACGACGTTTCGCTACAACACTTCGTCAGGTGATAAAAACTAATGTAAGCAAGGTTATTTTATACTTTACGGGATAGGCCTTGCGCATTAGCCGAACCAGCGGCCGAATAAGCGGCCTGGTGATTGGTCGATCACCGTGTGCGTCGACTAATAGGCATTGTGCGTTATTGTTTCCAATTATCGACCGAATTATTGACCGCTCCGCCGGTCCTCCCGTAAAGTATAAAAGGCCCTTGTTTACATTAGTTTGTTATCACTTGACGAAATGTTGCAGCATCGCAAGAAACGTCGTGGTCTTTTAGATTCCTTATTGACCACATTGCGAGACAAACGAATATCACTAGCGATATTATTTTCGATACTACATCCGCAATGAGTAATATATTTAGCATTATTGATCGAACATACGGGCGCCCTGCCCCGAAACTGATGCGTAGATATGAAAGTTGTAGCAAGAAGGTGGCCCGGTTCACCAATCACTTAACCTTTTTAGTTCGTTGCATTAAGCCCCACTGTCCTACTTGTAGCTACTTGCTCCCTCTATATAGAAAACAATGCCTAATCGGTGACCATTGGTCCCCCATGATCCTCTTTTTCTTATGTTAATTGAGAGCTGAGTTGATGAGATAACAACCTGTCCAGTGACCTTACAGGGTAGTATAATCCCTCCTATAAACTAGGACAGATAAGCTTTAAAGCATCCGTGGTCCCCAATGACCTACGGATTAAACCCCCG